TTTTCCCCTGGTGGGACGTGCCAGTGTTGTATCTGCGTTAGGTGTGCTGCGGTGTGGTAATGTGTGAAGTGTGGTAGTCCCAGTCACCCGTGTTTCTTGGGTACGTATAGTGTGTTTCGGCGTACTCTGGGTTTGTGTCCATTCCAGATGAATGTGTCAATGGATGTTTGTAGTGCCTTAAAGTCTTGTTTATGGATCGGTATGGGAAGGGTTTGGTATAGATATAAGAATCTGGGTAGGAGATTCATTTTGATTGTGGCGATGCGCCCCAGCCATGAGACCCCTAGTGATTTCCATTTAGTGAAGTCAGAGTGGGCTTTTTGTAATAAGGGGGTGTAATTTGTTTTATAAAGAGTGGTGATGTCTGTTGGGAGTTGAATCCCTAGGTACGTCATCGTTGTGTGGCAGATCCTCATCGGGCATATTTGTTTGAGTGTAGCTATGTTTGGAGTGTCTATTTGTATTGGGAGGAGCTGTGATTTATTCAGGTTGATCTTGTACCCTGACAGGTCTGAGTATTCTTGAATGAGAGTTAGGAGCGAGTTTATTGATTTTTCCGGATTTGTCAGTGTTAGCAGGATGTCATCTGCGTAGGCTGAGATTTTAAAGGTTTCTCCCCTGAACGTTAGCCCCTCTATGTCATGGCTGGCACGCACCGCTTGCAGCAAAGGTTCTAGTGATATGGCGAATAATAGGGGGGACAAAGGGCACCCCTGTCTCGTGCCATTTGAAATGGGGAATTGTGGTGGGGGGATGTTAGGTAGTAGAAGTGCCCCTTGGGGAGAGTGATAGATGACATGCACAAATGAAGTAAACTCGGGTGGTATCCCTATGTATGTTAGCGTATGGTAGAGGAACGGCCAGAGCAAGCGATCAAACGCTTTCTCCGCGTCCAGTGAGATGATCGCTGTAGGGATTCGTCTGTGGTTAGCCAGCCATATGAGGTCAATGGCTCTCCGGGTGTTGTCCGCGGCGTGCCTATGTGGGATGAATCCCACTTGATCTGGGTGTATGAGGGATCTTAGATATGGGTTTAAGCGGTTGGCAATAATTTTGGTCATGATTTTAAGGTCCACGTTGAGTAAGGAAATTGGTCTGTAGTGTGCGGGTTCAGAGTGGTCCTTGCCGGGTTTTGGGAGGAGGCAGATGTTTGCCCCGGTCATTTCTGGTGGGAGGTTCTCTCCCTTGAGTGCTGCATTAAAGACCGCGCATAGATGTGTAAAGAGTAATGGGCCAAATTCTTTGTAATATAGGGCTGTGTAGCCGTCCGGTCCTGGGCTTTTATTTGGTTTGAGGGATCCCACTGCTATGGCCATTTCATCTGTCGTGACGTCTTGGCTCAGGGCTGCTTGGGCCTCTTGCGTTAGGGTGGGTAGCGTCGTGCTTTGTAAGAATGTGTCTATGCGTGTGGACAGTGATGGGTTGGTGTCATGGGGTCGGTGGTCATGGTTGTAGAGGTCCGTGTAATAGTTCTGGAAGACTTTTCCTATGCTAGTTGGGCAGTCTGTGAGGGTACCATCGTTCGTGCGTATCTTTGTGATGCGTTTAGCTTCAGTTCGCTTTTTAAGTCTGCGGGCAAGCATGGTGTCCGCCTTGTTGCCCTTTTCGTAATATTTTTGTGTTCCATTTCTAGTCGGCGGAGTTCTGTCATCGTTTCTAGTATTTGTCGTTGTGTTTGTCTTTTTTTATGGGTGGCTAGGCTGATGAGTGTACCTCTGATGACTGCTTTGTGTGCTGTCCAGAGGGTCATAGGTGAGGTCGTTGTGGGTGAGTTTAAGTCGAAATAATCTTTGATTGCTATAGTTATTTTGTCTCTAATCAGTTGATCGTGGAGGAGTATTGGGTTAAGTCGCCATGACCAGTGTGTGTGTATGGTTGGTAGGTTTAGAGTGATTGCTATCTCGGCATGGTCGGACCAGGAGATAGGTCCAATCTCCGATTTGGTGATTTGAGATAGTAAGTTTGGTGAAATGAGAAAGTGGTCAATGCGTGAATAGGATCCGTGTGGGTGGGAGTAGAAAGTGTAGTCTTTGGTGGTCGGGTGTTGTGCCCTCCATATGTCAATCAGTTTATGGGAAGCCAGGAATTGGGCGAAGAGGGTGTCGTTTTGGTTTGGGCGAGTTCGTGTTTTGGCGCTTGAAGCCCGATCTATGGCAGGTATGTGTACTGCGTTGCAGTCCCCGCCCACTGTAAATCATGTGGTTGAGTACGTGTTGAGGTGAGTCTCTAATTGTTGCCAGAAGGTTGGGTCTGGTGTTGTGGGTGCGTAGAGCGATGAGAAGGCGTATTGTGTTGTGCCTATTTTTCCCCGTATTGTGATGTATCTACCCTGTGGGTCTTTAGAGCAGGTGATATCTGTGAGGGGGCTGTTTGCTCTCAAAAGGATCGCTACACCTTTGGTCTTGGTGTCTGGGGAGGGAGCATGGAAGCTTTGTGTGTAGTATCTGTTAGTGAGGGGGAACATGCGGTTGATTGTGAAGTGGGTTTCCTGTATGAGGACTATGTCGGCTTGTTGTTTATGTGCCCAGCGTAGAATGCCGTGCCTCTTGTTGGGGGAGTTCAGCCCCTTGGCGTTGATGGAGATGCAGCGTATTTGTGTAGGCATGTTGTCTGTAGGAGTGTGGCGGTCTCTGCGATTTTGCAGTGATGGGTTATCTTGAGTTGCGCGTCCGGGTGGCCGCGGGCCACGAGGGGTGGGGGGAAGGGGGAGGGCGGGAGGGCTGAGGGTGTTAGCCTGGGTTAAGGTAGTGGGAGGGAGAAATGGGTAGGATGTGCTACTGGGCTTATCCGAAGGCCAGTAGGTAGTGGGGCGAAGCGTCCGACCGCTCCGTGGGTTTCCCCGTGAGTTCGGGTAGGTGTATGTGTGTTGGGGGTTGGCGACCGTCCGGTCTGGGCCGTCCAGAGACAGTTTTCAGTAGTCGTCCGCGTTACCGTGTGTGCTGTGGTCGGTCATCGTTGTGGAGGCGTTGCGTCCGCGAGGGTAGCCCTCTGCGTATCGTGCCGTGTGTGTGCAGGGTCGTACCTTGTGAGCCCGTGGGGCGTTGGTCTGGTCGTTAATGCATCTAGTATTGGTGCAGTGGTGAGGGTGTGCTGTCACCGTCCAGTCGTAAGATGTCGTCGTGATACCGTCTGCTGTAAGTGGTGTTCGTCAGCACGTGAGGTGGGGTGGGGTGTGTCGGTTAGCTGAAAAATAATGAGTAACAGTTTTACATTGTAACATAACAGTTTAACATCAACTTCAATTTATATACATTTCCTGTGCTTTAGTGTCCAGAGGTTCCCGTGTTGCGTATCTTCACTTATGGTGTCTCCCTGTGGGGGTCCCTGGGCTAGGGAGGCTGAAGGAATGGGGAGGTTGATTTGTAGCTACACTTTCCCGGTCCCTCGGTTGCCTGGTGCTTTGTCTTTGCAAGTTTTGTGGGTTAGTGTGAGACCCTCCTGGTATCGGTCTGATCCTATCCTTGGTGGTGCCCCGGCTTGCATTGGGCCCTTGGGGTTGTATGTGCTCAGGGTGTGCCTGTCTAAGTCCTGCTATTTCCCAGGGCGTGCCGTTTGCGCTCAGCCTCTCTGGTGCTCGTGGTGTTGTCACCGGTTTTCTATGTGGAGGGTGTGCCCGCATCTCCTGGGTCCCAGTGTGTCTAGTGCGGGGGCAGAGTGTGGTCCCGGATACTGCGTTATTGGGTCTCCTGGGGAAGTGTTTACGCTCAAGGGAGCCATCGGTGTTTTGAGGTGTACTCCTGAAAGTTGTCTATCATTGGGCGCATGCCATGTCCATTGTTGGGGGGTGCCTCAGCCATCCCTCCCTGCCCAAGGTGTGCTGCCTGTGGGTATCTGCTCTGTTTTGGTGCTAGGTTGTGGTATTGTATGCTGTGGCATCTAGGATACCTGTGTGGTGGGTGAATGTGGGGCAGCTGTTCCACTTTGCACCCTGGGTGGCAGTGGTCTGTGACTGCGTGGGCTGGTGCCGAGAAGGGTACTAGTGCGTGCCGCCTACATTCCTGAGTCTATGATTTCTACCTATTGAAGGATGCCTAGTGACTCAGTAGCGAGCTGGAGACATATAATTTCTGTCTATAGAATGAGTCCTAGCAACCAAACAGTGAACAGGAAACATTATATAAAGCAAGGAGAGAGTTTGTTAATTATATCTTATCTGGAGCTTGGAGTTGTCAGCGGTTTAGGCTGTTTCCAGTCCATTATCGGGGTGTGGGGTTGTCAACGTTCTTTAGTGCCGGAGTCAGACCAGGTTCCGTGTTCGGGTACATTGTCAGCTGTGGTGACCACAACCCTCTTGAGAGTAGTCCGTGCCGTTTCTTATTTCTTATTTTGTATGTTGGTCCTCTGTTGGTGTGTCGAGTGGTGAGTGGTTGTCACTCCGTTTAGTTGTCGGCCCTGATGCGTGGGCTATTCGGTATCTGGCGTGTCGGGGCTAGCGGTGGTGCATTTCTGGGTGGAGGGCCTCTGTCGTGTCTTCTGGGATTCGGGTCCGTGGTGAGAGTTGTGGGATCCAGGCCGAGGCTCTCTGCGAAATCCGCCATTTCCGCGGTGTTGTATAGAGTGTAGGTGAGGTTGTTCTTCCGGACCTGCAGCTTAAATGGGTGCCCCCATGAGTAGCGGATATGTTGCCACGTGAGCTCCTGAGTGAGGGGCCGCAGCTCCCTCCTTTTACGCAGGGTGCTCGGGGCCAGGTCCTGGTAGAAGGAGATTTGGTGGCCTTCTATTTGTAGTGGGGTGTTTCGTGCCACTTGCATGAGTGCCTCTTTAATGTGGAAGTAGTGCACTCGTATGATAACATCCCTGGGTTGGGTTGCATTGGGCATAGGTGCTTGGAGAGCCCTGTGCGCTCTATCTAGTAGGAGTTCCGCCGGTGAGGCCTCCGGGAGCAGGCCACAAAAGAGCTCTCGTAGCGTTGGGCCCAGTGCCTCTATTGTGACCGTTTCTGGTATTCCACGTATCCTTACGTTATTTCGGCGGGACCGGTTGTTCAGGTCCTCTTGTGCCTCCTCTAACTGGTGGAGCTGTTCTTGTAGGGCGGCTATGGCATTTTCAGTAGCTGTTGTGCGTGTAACTGTCAGGTCCAGTTGTTCCTCAATAGTGGAAGTTCTGTGGGTTAAGTCAATCAGGCCTTCTCTGATGGGTGTGAGATGCCTGTCAAATTCTGTAGCCATATTTGCCTTAATTTCACTTAGTAGCTGGCGGAGGTCCTCTTTGGTGAGGGGGGTAGCTGTCATTGTTCTGCTCCTGTCACTGGCTGCAGAGTCAGAGTCATATTCGCGGTCTTCTTCTTCCTCCCGCGTGGCGCCGCCATCTTTGCGGCTCCGGAATATCGGAGCTACTTCTGCAGCTCCCTGCTTCGTTTGCCACCCGCCCCCCATCGCTATGTAGTGAGGTACCGTGGGTGAGATACGAGGTGGCCGGGTGGGTGTGTGAAAGCCGGTTGCGGGTGCTATTGATTGCCGGGTCTGTGCCTCCGAGGACGGAGCTCCCTCAGAAAGCCGCCATTCGCGCCGGAAGTCAGGCGCCGCCCCCCGAAATCTGTACTTTTTATAAATGAACAAAAAAAGGAATGTGAAGTCCTTGTGTGTGGAGTGGTCCTTTCATTTCATATTGCAGGTACAGACCACTTAAAGTAAGGTGTAAAACATGGGGCTCTAATTTTGCCACCGTTAAGGTATTTTTACACTAGGAATTTACAGATTTTACTATTAACATGACGTAAAGTCATGACTTTAATAATGACACGGAGGCAAGTATTATGCTTCACTCTTTCTTTATTTACCTCAGCAGCAAAGAAAAGTAACATTAACCCCTTCAGGACGGAGTCAATAGTGATCAAAACAAAACGTAAACAAAAACTGGAATTTGCGCTATATGTCTGTTCAACCGTTGTCACATTAAGTGCACCCACACTTATTATATATCATTTTGTTCAGGAGAAACAGGGCTTTAATATATCATTAACTATTCATATATGGAACATAATTTATTATGAATAAAAATTTTAAAAATGTTAGAAAATAAGATTTTTTTTTTTAATTTGTATTTCCGTCTGACATTTTAGCTGTGAATGTCATAATATAGGATTGAGAATTACCCCCATGATGGCATACCATTTGCAAAAGAAGACAACCCAAGGTATTGCAAATGGGGTATGTCCAGTCTTTTTTAGTAACCACTTAGTCACAAACACTGGCCAAAATTAGTGTTCAATTTACTTTTTTTACACACAAACAAATATGAACGCTAACTTTGGCCAGTGTTTGCGACTAAGTGGCTACTAAAAAAGTCTGGACATACCCCATATTGAATACCCTGGGTTGTCTACTTTAAAAAAAATGTACATGTTGGGTGTTATTCAGAGATTTATGACAGATAATAGTGTTACAATGTCACTATTGATACATTTTAAAAATTTATGTTTTGAAACCGCAATATCCTACTTGTACTTATAGGCCTATAATATACAAAAAAAAATGCAAAAAAGCATGTAAACACTGGGTATTTTTACACTCAGGACGAAATTTTTTATCTATTTAGCAGTTTTTTTCATTCGCTTTTGTAGACGAGTAAAAGATTTTTCACGTAAAAGTAAAAAACCATGTATTTTTTTCAATTTTTCTTGATATATTTTCATTTTTTTTAAATTAAATTACATGAGATTATATAAATAATGGTATGTAAAGAAAGCCCCTTTTGTCCTGAAAAAAACAATATATAATTTGTATGGGAACAGTAAATGAGAGAGCAGAAAATTACAGCTAAACACAAACACCACAAAAGTGTAAAAAGATGCCTGGTCGCAAATGTACAACATCGCAAAAAAAAGTACAGTCCTTAAGGGGTTAATAACAAAATACAGTTAGAATGAAATTACATATGAATATATAATTTATATTAAATTTTGTTTCAATATTTTATTTATTAATTTTATTATTATTATTATTATTATTATTATTATTAAGATCCTATTGGTGTAACTGACTCCGCATAATCTACCTCAATCTTGGTAGGTTTAACAGGACGTGTATCCTGAACGGGATTAGCATCCTCTTCATCAGTAATTTCATAATCAGGATCAGAAATATCCTCTGAATCCTCCATACAGGACTCAGGGAACTCCTCCTCAATATCACTGAGCTCAGATTCAGAGTTCAGTTGGGCTTTTGGCCTTTTTCCAAAGTCTAGTCGATTTTTCCAGACTAGTAGCTCTTTTGCGCGGTGGTAAATTAATCGCGCCATCCGTGACAGGTATGGTACTGTCCATCTCTATTGTTTTGGAGGAGTGTTTAGCCTTATATGAGGCCTTGCAGCCAGGCTGAAGCAGAGCTGGTGTGAGAGTACGGGTACTGCCGCCTGAGTAGTCGGCTGAGCCGATCTCTGTGCCTGTAACAGTGTCTGGGCAAATATCTGTGAAGTGAATCAGACATGACATAACCATCACTGACACCAGGGCCTTGTCATTGCTTTTGCCATGGAAGTGTCAATTAAAGCCTGCATGTCAGAAAAATCAGTAAAGCAGAAGATCAGCCTCATCTCCAGAGATACCTGGAGAGGCTTCTACATTAATGTTTGCTGTAGACCCAGAAGGCACAGAAAGATCCTGTCAGACTGCATCATTAATATACAAACAAACCTAAGAGGATGAATAAAGTAAAATAATACCAAAAGGAAAGGGTTGAGTAACCCTCAAGTAAAAAATAAATAACTAAACAGGATAAAGAAATGAAAGTACTCACAATAGTGAAAAAATAGCAATTGTAATATAAAAACACAGGAGCTGCCTGGCTGCTACTATAACTGAACCCCAACTTGGATTTCTGGCAGTTGGGGTGAGAGCAGCGGCCACGCAGATAAATGAAGGAAACAAACAGCACAGTAGCACTGTTCAGGGGATAAAGATCCTCAAAGACATCCCTGAGTCCCAACTGATGGTAATCTTGGGGCCGGGGAGGTCAGAGGGGAAAGAAATTATCAAAGGATATACAACAAAGCATATAACAGAAGCAAATGAAGTAAATAAATCAAATTAAGTTAGAATGAAGTAACTAAATATATTTATAAACATGAAAAGATGATAATTAAAATGTAAAAATATAATAACTATATTAACTGCAGTAATGAAATGAATAAAGAAGATCCCACAGTTAAGAACCATGTGTCACGGTAGTTTACCCCTACATGCAAGATTTAGTCCAACAATCGACAGATAGAGCAGATACGACTTATCGGACCATAGAATGGCCGGACTCGCCGTATAGCAGAGAATAGACAGAGTCAAGAACAAGCCGAGGTCAAGGGAACAAAGAGACTGCGAGAACAAAAACTAGCCAAGGTCTGGTACACAGTAGTCAGTAAGTCGGCAAACAAGACAAAAAAGGGATAGAGAGATAAACGGAGTCAGATACAAAGCCAAGGTCAAGCACGAAAATCGGCGGCGAGAAGAGAGGACCTCGGCCGGCCCCCGGGTAAAGTAAGTACCGCTACACCATGGGACCCAGTGTCACTTAACTGAGGTAGCAGCAAAGAAAGAGGAAGTAGTATACTGGACACTGCCTATTATGCTATAAAGAGGATGATGATTGGCTGTTCCTGTTGCTAGGAAGATATACCTCTCATGTTATTTACTGGTTTCTTTTATACTGATTTAATGTTATTTTTCTGCTGAGGTAAATAAAGAAAGAGTCATAATAGGAGCCTCTGTGTCTTAATAAAATCACTATTTCCCCTGCGGATTGTAGCGGCTAGAAGGTCCAGCAAATCCCACTGTGCAGGTCCTGCCTGTCAGATCAAAGGTAGGTCTCTCTAATATGCGGTAGACAGGCCCGGACTGGCCATCGGGCACACCGGGCAAATGCCTGGTGGGCCGCCATGACCGTGGGCCGAGGCTAGCAGAGGAGTTCACAGGATCTCTCCTGACAGCCCCTGCAGGGCCAGCGCTATCCGAGCGCCGTCCCTGATGTGTGCCTCCATGGGCTGGTGGGGAGATAAAAGATCTCCCTCACCGGCACAGAGGCACTGACATGCAGCCGCCGGCTGGGGAGTGAGGAGTGGACCAGCGTTGCCGGCTAGAGATCACAGTCACCACTGGACCACCAGGGAAGGAAGCATGGCTTCCGAATCCATGGCAGCACGGCTCCCTCCCTCCCAGGGTAAAGGTAAGAAGGGAGGGGGGGATATAATTTTTTTTTTTTTTTTTTAAATTATTAATAAAAAATATATTTACATTTTAATAAAAAATACATTCACACTCACACTAACAGCCCCCTCACACACACAGCACCCCCAGACACACACAGCACCCTCAGACACAGCACCCAGACACACACAGCACCCTCAGACACACACAGCACCCCCAGACACACACAGCACCCCCAGACACAAACAGCGCAACCAGACACTAACAGCACCCCCATACACACACAGCGCACCCTCAGACACACACAGCGCACCCTCAGACACACACAGCGCACCCTCAGACACACACAGCACCCTCAGACACACACAGCGCATCCTCAGACACACAGCCTTCAGTGAGTTAACAAAGAAAATTAGAAACCTAGAATGTGACGGCAGGTAAAAACACCCTCACACACAGCACCCCTCTTACATACACACAAACTGCGCCCCTCACACATACAATACGTCTATATATATATATATATATATACACACACACTACAGCACCCCTCACACTGCAGCACTACACACATTACGCTCCAGATACACGCTAGATCCCTTACCCTATATGCACTCTTAATCCTACACACACACACACACACACACAATCTCCAATACACACTCTGGGTCCTTTACACACTAGATCTCCTACACACACACACACTGCACCACCTACACACACACTACATTCCTTGTCATCAAACACATACAACATTTTCTAAACACACCCTTTCTTCAACCCTTACACACACTACGTCACCTATACACACACACTACAGCCCGTATGCACACACTCGCTACATCCCCTATAACACTATGCCCTCTATACACACACACTCTCTACAGCCCCAAGCCACACATATTACACCACAAACACAAATGAAATTGACCTATTTGCACAATACCACACCACACACTACACACACGCAATCCCACAAGCAGGCTCCAAACACATGCACCATACACTTTCCTGGCACTTTTGTCCTCTGGTATCCCACTTGTGGAGACACCAGAGACAATTTAAAAGCAAACACAGCACAAGCATTTTATTAAATTTGTATGCGCTGCGCAGAACAAATTCAGGGCCATTATCCAATGCCAGAGCTCTTCAGCGGGGCTCTGCGCACTGAACCAACATGCTTGTCATTAGTGATGAGAAAAAACACCCTCTCTGGCCCCGCCCCCTTCTTAGGGGGCCGCTATGATTGAAAAATGCCCGGGACTAATTTTTTTCCCAGTCCGGCCCTGGCGGTAGATGAGAGCTTGAAAACGCAAGACTCACAGCTTAGTTGGTGGCTGGGTGAGGAGCTCTCACAGAACACAGCCAGCCTCCATGGTCAGGCCCCGCCCCCCCATATGCACTTTTTAAGTCACCTTTTCTAGAACTTGAATTTAAAGCGTGAGTAGAGCTTCAATGAAAGTCAAGTATTGCATAGTATTAGACAAAATTAGCACCAGTAAACAATAATCTAACTGTACATCTATGATATATTCATTAATGTACGAGAAAATGTATATCTTAAAGTTTTACTCATAAGATTGATTCTGAGACTGTCTGGGTGCCAATGATGTACATGTTCTTTTAAATAAAACACATAAGACAGATTGTGTGCATATGTAATTAGATGCTTTCATTATTTGCAGAGTTTGGTCTGTCTATGTAGAGGGCTCAAAAAGAGTGGTTTATGACATCAACCCAATATTAAAAACAGGAAAGCACTGTTTTACAAAACCCAAAAGATGGGCAAAATAGTATTTGCCCAATTCAACCTTTTAATTCACTCTTGTGAAACCTATTCACATATCTATGTAGATTAAATATACAGAGGCAAAAGAGAAGCTATAGGGCACATGTTTAGTTTTACATAATAGCATATTGTTTAAAGTATATCTCTACTGAACATTACCATGTAACAATTCCATTGAGCTGTACCTGGTTGTAAGTAAATCACTTAGTTAATATTGAAGCGTTTACTGAACTACTGTGATCTGCATGTGTGTAAACTGAGATAATAGGGAATATGTCCAAAGACTGCACACAACTGAATGATCTAAGCTCCCTAATGGAAAATAAGGGTAAATCTTAAAACTTCCCCCCCTTTCCCTTACTTAAAAAAAAAGTTCCAATATTGGCCACACCCCTTTGAGAACTTCAAAGCTGGGGAATCAGCCTTTGTGTGTGCGTGTGTTTCATTCCTATGCCTTCCCAAATATATATATGACATCATCTAGACTAGAGACATACGCAGCCCAGGCATTGTCCTGCAGCAGTGTGAGCTTATGTCCGTTTCCTAGGATCTGGGCTTGTTGCATGTAGGCATGCTTTCATGTCTTTGCTCTGCCCAGTTGGATATGTAGTCTCCTTCTCAAGCACCAAGCAGGGGAGATGTCACCGCCACAGAGCAGAAGGGACACGACAATGACAGGGAGAGACAGAAAGGATGGAGACAATTTAACAACCAGAACTGTGTGCAGACGTGCCAAGCTTGGCAACACATCAACAATATCAGCATATCTCTTAGAAGCATTTTTGTGAATGTCTGTAGTGTGTATGACAGCCCTCTGAATTTAATGAGTTAAAACTATTTTAAACGTTGGGTGGATTCTAAAGAGTATATAGTATACTGTGGCAAAAGGCAGACTCTGTATAATAAGTGAGCAGTGTTACTTTCCAGACAGTTTATGAAAAAATATAGCGAGGGAGAGGGTATGTATCACAAGTGTAGTCACAAATAGGGAGGGGCTTTGATAGGGGTGTTATGGTTTTATCTTTCAAAGCAGAAAAATGCAATATAAGAATATGGGGGTGGAAGGAAAAATTGGGAAAGGGGTTAAAGGCAAAGTGAAATGTAGGAAAATCGTTAGATGAAAAAGATTTAAAAAGGCTGATTGAAGATTTGATGCAGGGAGACAAAAAATAAAAAGGAAGACCGGGGAAGGGATGCATATGAAAAAGGTACCATGAGGTTTTAAAAGTCCTGTTTCTGTGTGCTCAGGGAAACGTGACAAAGCATGAGAAAATATGTGGAAACAAAAAGAATGACAGGTCATGTAGGTTAAAT